ATTATGCTAAGTGAACTAACTCAGTCTGATAAGGACAAATACTGTATAAAACTATTACTGCAGAAATAGATAACTAGTAAAACGTGAATGAGGATCTAAGGTGGGGAGGGTGGGAGCAGAGGGGTGAGGATGGGTGAGGAGCTGTGTGGTTAATTAATTTGATGGGTGGAGGGAGGGGTGGGGGAAGGAAATAGGAAAGATCTAGTGTGAAAAAGAATGTATATGAACTTTGTAAGTAAACCAGCTGTAACAGTAGATCAACAGCGAACTGCCAGAAATCCAAGCTGGATTAAAAAGAGGCTGTGGCACAAAGCATATCCTTGCTAAAGTCATGTGTCTGTTATTTCTGTTGCACTCGACTTCCTCCTTTACTGCCGTTGAGTCAGAACTGACCCCTCAGCGAGTTTTCAGAAGCAGTAAATCTCTCCGGACGAGATTGCCCATCTTTTGCCCTTGTGCTACCCCATGGATTTGAACTACCCACTTTTGTGTTGGCAGTGCAACTCTTTACCTACCAGGTCAAGAGAGTTCCCTTGTACTAGACTGTTATGTACCAGTGAGTTGGAACCGACTTAGCTGACCTTCCAGCGGGTTTTCAGAGGCTGTTAATCACATGAGAGGAGATAGCCCATTCATAAGTCTCTTGTAGAGAGCTGGACGATAACTAAGGATGACAGAAGCATTGATGTGATGCCTTTGAGTTGTGGTGCTGGAGAAGAGTCTTGAACATTCCGTGGACTGCCAAGAAAACAAATAGGTGTGTCTTGGAGAGACCGAAACCAAATCCTGGGAGGCTAGGATTTTGAAGCTCCGTCTCACATACTTTGGGTACTTGGCCATGAGAGACCGGTCCTTGGAGGACATCATCCTTGAAAGGATGGAGGGACAGCGCGGGCGAGGAAGACCCAGGATGAGATGGATTGAAACAGTAACTGGAGCGATGGGTGTGGGTGTGTCAGGGTCAGTGAGACTGGCTCAGGACAGGGCAGGCTTCAGAGCTGTTGGACATAAGGTCGCTATGAGTTGCAGGAGACTTGACGGTACATAACAACAATAAGAAGATAATTTTTACTTTTGTTATCATTGAGGCAACTAGAACCTCTACCAGTTGTTCTTCTGTTTTCAAACAAGTATTGGACAGAATTAAGGTGACATATTCTAACTTTAAGAACCACTTAGTGAAGGGGCAGTCGGCTCTGGTTCCAGTTGCCAGTAGCCCGATGACCACAAGGTGGCAGCAAAGCCACACTAGGGATCTGGCGGCAGAGTCCTTTGGGGAAGAGTGTTCCACCAAGGCCCTCGCAGCATCTCCTGGGTCAGAGCTGAAGATGACTCTTGAGAAAGAGACCTTGACTCCAGGTGAGGTGATAGAAGGTGCTACGACTTTGTGCTGGGACGGTGAAAAGTTTGGTTAAGTTTGACTCATCTACCCGCATTGCCCCAGTTACTATATCAATCCATCTCATCCTGGGTCTTCCTCTCCTGTGCTGTTCTCCTCTGTCCTTTCAAGGATGACGAGAATTGTATCTTTCAGAAAGAGAGCTTTTATTCCAGAGCTCTGACCAGATGGATGATCCTCCTGCTCTTTGGTTTAACCCAATGCTCTTCTACAGCTTGAAAGGAGCCCAAATGTATTTTAAGCCAATGCAATTCCCACGTACCAATTTCATATTCCTGCTCCAGACCTTTAGTGTCCATTCCCCTTCGCTGTCCACCAGCCAACATCAGATTGTCTCTCACTCACATCCTGACTTTCCTTCTCCTTCCCTGTTTCTCGCCATACACATTTTACTAGTTAGCCTTCTGTTTTTTTACAATAATGGTCATATGCAGTATTTGTCCTTATGAGACTGAGTTAGTTCACTCAGCATAATGCTCTCTTTCTCCCAAGTTATGTATTAATTTTCAAAATTATTGCTTGTGAGTGCTATCTTGTTTTTAAAACCCAAGCATAATGCTAGTTTTTCCTCTTGTGGGATTTGACCAAGAGCCACTGAAGACTCCCATCAAAGGGAACTTTGAAACCAATAACTCTGTTCTCCATTTCTGCAAGACACCTCAGTCATTGGACAGAAGCAGGAAGGAAAATGCTGACTCCGATGGCCAGGGAGGTCAACAGAACATGGAATCTGAGATGCTGGGTCCGCAATCGGGGCCACCAGACTTAGCTACCTTTACAAAGCAATAATGGGTGATGAGTTTCTGAAAGAAAAACCATGGGTGAGTGAAAGAAGTGAATAGAAGCATTTCAGAACAGAGACAAAATGTCCAATGAATGCACAAGAAAGAATAAATAAGTGAGAACAGACATCAACTCACGTTTTTAATCAAAGAGGTAAAGATTGAGAATACACTTAGACAGGCTTTGCTATCCCTTGTTATCGTCTTCTCTGGCTCTTTGGTGATCTGTTTGGTTGCTCGGGGATTCTCAGGATAAGTTTAGTTCTTCCTCTGTAAGGTGGTCTTTTAAATTTGACTCTCGAGCCTTTAAGTTCTTATGGCACAGATTTTTCAGGCATCCCTTGTTTGTTATGGCCGTGTCAGATCTTAAATCCTTTTGTCATTAGCTATCATTAGTGTATTTTAAATTTTATCAAATCCAGTGAAGAACTTCTACAGGGATCAGAGTTTCATTTTGAAAGCTAAGAACTGGAAAGTTAAGACCTCACTTTAGGCCGTTACTTCCCTAGTGTGTCTCTCCTGTGTTTGGTGTATACCTTACTAGGAGAACAGTAAAAGACAAATTTAAATTTTTAAACTTAACATATAAAGGAAAATAAACCTGTTAGAATAGAATTTTTGTTGGGTGCTTGATCTGTGTGGGTTTGTCTGATAGGGAGTTTTAGTAGAATAATTAGGGAGCTCTGGTGACCTGTTGTTGTTAGGTGCCATCGAGTAGAGTATGACTCATAGTGACCCTATGAACAAAAGATCTGAACCTAGTCCTGTCCTGTGCCATCCTATACTCTGACTTGGTGTCCTTATTAAAAGAGTTACTGGGCAAAGAAAGACCTTTAAGAGGCTAAGTCCAGTTCGGTACATTACAGATGAGGGAAACAGAGGTGCAGGGAAAGTTCCAGAAACAGAACAAGAGAATATCAACTCTGGTGAGTTGAGTGACACGTTTTGAAAAGAATTTCTTTTGTAATCAGTGGTCTTAATAATACTTAACTATATTTATTATTATTTAATAATAATTTAACTTTTGATTATAATTTTAAAAGAAATCTTTTCATTTCAGAGCATTCCAGCAATATCACGAGGTTTTAATTTCTTGCCGGCTTCGGTGATACTTCCCAGCCAGAAACAGGCTGGTAAAATGCAGATGTGTTTGGAGAGGTATGGGGCAGAACTTCATGGCTTCTCTCTTTCTCCTTCCTCCCTTGTTTCATTCTCAAGGTAAAAAAAAACACAATAATTTTTCAAGCTCCTGTTTGTTGTTGTCATGTGCCGTCAAGTCAACTTGACTATGACTCACAGTGACACTTTGGACAGCAGATCTGAACCCTGTCCCGTCCTGCACAGTCCTCTCAATCTCTAACACAACTTGGGCCCATTGCTGCAGTCACTGTGTCAACCCATCTCACTGAGGGTCTTCCTCTCTTTCGTCGACCCTCCACCTTTCCAGGAATAGCCTCTCCAAAGAACATGCCCAAAGTATGTGAGAGGACAGAATCAACATAATTACTAAATTGAGATAATTCTTTCGGTTCTTTGTTCTAACCATTCCCAACCAAACTCAAGGCACCTCTTCCTTAGGATCCTAAGGCTCTGAACTTTAATGGGAAGCAGATTGCCTGTTTCCCCCCCCATAAGAATGGCCATGGATTCAAACTGTGGATCTTTTGGTTAGCAGTCCAGCTATCCTCTACACGTTATCTCAGCTCCTTTCAATCATTTCCACCCTGTCTTATTTCCCAGAGGCATCCACCTTTAGCTCTTCCAGTTGTTTTCTCTGGTATTTGGATTTCTTTATTTCTTAATTTGCTCATTGTTGCATGTTTTCCTCCCACCCCTTCCCTGCTTCCTCCCCCAGTTGGCTTTGCAGTGCTCCTCTTGTTCTGAATTGTTGTCATACATGTGATGCTTAGTCATAGATTCTTTTAAACAGTTCTTCCCCTCATCTGTTCCAATGCAGTGGTTATTATCTATCCACTCTTTTCCTATTCTCATCCCAGCCCTCCATGTCAGTCCTGCTTTATAACAGAGATGTTAGGCAGTATTTGTCCTTATGTGACCGAGATAGTTTACTCAGCGTAATATCCTCCAGGTTACATGTTGTGTAGTGTCTTATAAGTTCATTGTTTTTAAATGCTGCATCATATTCTCTTGTGTGAATTTATTGCTGTATTTCATAATAGCAAAGAGATGGAAGCAATCCAGGTACCCATCAACAAGCAAATGTATATATTTGTTTCTAAATAATATTTTTCAACTGCTGTTTTACAGTTTCGTAAAATTTTAGACTTTGTGAAGACCTAGAAAATCCTGTCTCTTTTCCAGTTTTCAGTCTTTTCAGGTGGTTATACTGTTTCAATAACATAACTAGTCAACGTTTACCTTGTATTACTACATAACAAACAATAGTTATTGGTTCAGAGCCGACTTACAGCTGACCCTTCAGTGGATTCTCAGAGACTATAAATCACATGGGAAGAGGTTGCCCACGTTTCTGTTGTGGAGTAGCTGGTGGATTTGAACTACCTGCCTTTGGGTTGTCAGTGCAAGTTCTTAATCCACCAGAGCGCTATAGATTTCTGTATCACTAAACAGTGATACAGATCTCTATAGTTATTGGGTATTCATTACCATATAATGTATTATAATGGTATTTATTTACTAATATAACTCTTTGTTTTTCCTGGAATTAAAGGCAATTTTATTTTTTGTCTAGATATCTCTGAAGCTATTAATGTTTTCCATAAATTATCCCCTAAAGCTTACTGTGTATTTACCCTTCGTGCCTGTTTTCTGCAGCCATAGAAAATAGTAACTGAGAATGAACCTATATTGTTCTAATAGCTTGAGATATTTTTTACTAGAAGAATATTGTTAATTAAGTTATAATAGCTATTTTATCATTCCTACCTATGGCATTAAATGTCAGTTTTCCACCTTGTCAAAGTAAAGAAGGAAGAAAGGAAAATATCTACATTGTAAGAAAGAAAATACTGCTGAAATTGCCAACCTCCATTTTTTTTTAGTAATTTTGAAGCCTGAGCTACTTCAATGTTTCTGTTTAAACATTTTAATTAAACATCCCTTGAAAGAGTTGAGAGTTGGTGGGAACGGCACTGGCTCATTTTTTTGAAACCCTCAGTAATCTTTTATTAGCTGTGGTCAGTTGACATTTGTAGTAATCTGCCAGAAACTGAAGATATTCATTGCTGACACCACAGCACACATTGCTGGTGAACCCTGGGGCCTCTAGGGTCAGTGTCATCCAGTGAGCAATTCTTGGTGCCGCCTCCACCCCCATGAGCCCCCTCCCAACCAGACCCTTCAGAATCCTTAGTAATAGTAATTATTAGTTTAAATCACTGAATAATATGTGAAAAGTCTATTGTAAATTATTGCAATGCAATATTTTTGAAATTATATGAATGCTAACAAGATTGTTTTGTAGATTCTTCCTACATTGATTGAACTACAACATTATCAATGACTGAGAAGAAGTGAATTACATGTTGGGCTGATAACCCAGAGGTTGGTGTTTTGAATCCACCAGCTGCTCCATGGGAAAAAGATAGGCAATTTATAGCCATTAGGGAGTTCTGGTGGCCTAGTGGTGAGAAGCTGTGTTGCAATCCCATAGGCACAAAGTTCAAATCCACCAGTTGTTCTGCAGGAGAGAGATGGGCAATCTCTTCCCCTTCGATGAACTGCCTCTGAAAACCTGCGGGTTGGTCAGCTATGGGTCAGTTCCAACGCAGTGGTACACAACAACAACAACAACAACAACTCCAATTAAGTTTAGCCACCATAGAAATCTATCAGAACCATAGGTTTGTGCTTTTCCTTTAATTATGGTGTTATTGTTAAAAAATTATGGACCATAGGCTTATAAATACTACTTATCACAATATTGCAGGTAAAATTTGACACAATCAGTGCTTATCAAACTACTAGCAGTATAGGAAACAGCACCTGTTTGTAGTGCGTAGGGGTAGAATCATGTGATTCACAGGTTTATTCTAATGGGATCGTAATATCTGACCAGACTGCATTGTTGTTAGGTGCTGTTGAGTGTGACCCATGGTGACTCTTTGAACAGCGGATCCTTGTCCTGTCCTGTGCCATCCTCATCATTTGACATATTTGAGCCCATTGCTGCAGTCACTGTGTCAGTCCATTTCTTTGATGGTTTTCCTCTCTTTTGCTGACCTTCCGGCAACATCAACCGTGGTTCTTTCCAAAGGAATAGCCTCTTCTAACATCATGCCCAAAGTATGTGACATGAAGTGTCACCATCCTTGCCTCTCAAAATACTCTCTGGATGTGCTTTCTCCAAGACATATGTTTAGTCTTTCGTCAGTCCAGTCTGCTTCTCCAACACCACAATGAAATGGCATCAGTTTTTCTTCTGTCATCCCCGTTCATTGTCCAGCTCTCAAAGGCATAGAAAGTGATTGAAAAGATCATGATCTGAATCGGGCACAAGTTAGTCTTCAAACTGACATCACGGCTCCTCAGTATTTTGGAAGGTCCCTCAGTTGACTTGCCCAATGCAATACCTCATCTCTTGATGACTGGTAACCAAGGGTGTTGTTTGTGAATCCAAGTAAGATGAAATCATTGGCAATTTCAATCTTTTCTCCATCTACTGTGATGTTGCTTATGTTGATGATCAAGATTGCATCAGAAAGCTCAAAAAGTTAATTAGCACAGAGTTGCTTGGTAGTTGTATTGACACATAGAAGCTGGGCTTACAATAAAAAAAGTCTTTTAGTTATGGTTAGTCACAGAGATATTATGTAAAAATTCTTTTCTGCTGAAATAGAACACAGAATTTTTATGGAAGGTCATTTTGATGTCTCATTTTGATGGTCTTTAACCATGTCACTCGATGTGGTCTGTGCCTCTCGAATCCCCCTTGTGACCCTCCTGCATCTGGTTTCTGAAAAGACGTTGAGAAGCTCTCCCACTTTTACCAGAAGCCCTCTGCTGACAGACCACAAGCCACCTGGGTGGGCTCGGTTCCTGGCCTTTACGTCAGTCACAGTGTGATCTGGTGGAGTGGTTGGAGAGATGAAAAGGCAGTGGCCTGTGGTTTGCACTTAGCAGGGCCTTTTGATGAGAACTTAGAATTTAGTGGAAGATGTAATCTTGACTTCAGAGTTCTGGGTTAAACTAGTCACAAGAGTAACTCTGTGTGTTCTGGTGATAGTAGGGAAAAGAGACAAAACAGTAATTAAAAATATTTGTTATCAAGGACTCACTGTAGAACTTAGGTGAGCTAGTGTTGGCTTAAAATACTCCAAAATTAATTTGGTTTTTAAATATCAAGTGACAGAATAAATATGCAAAGCACAGTATAGTGTGTACATGGCACATGATACTTTATCTGCATTTAAGGCTGGCACACATGTGCTTTTTATTAGAAACACCTATTAAAAATTTGCTAAAATTCTTGTTTGTTTTGTTATTATTGTTAGGTGCTGTTGAGTATATTTTGCTTGCTGGAGATATTAATGGTAGTTTGATAATTCTGTTAGATCATCTTTCTTGGGAATGGGAGCAAATATGGATCTCTTCCAGTCAGTTGACCTGTCAGCTGTCCGAGTGGTGAGAAGCCACATTGCAATCCCAAAGGCACGTGGTTCAAGTCCACCTGTTGTCCCATGGAAGAAGAATGGGCAATCTCCGTCCATGTGATTTATCGCTGCTGAAAACTTGATTGCACAGTTACAATCATTGTCTGGCTGACTCGCTCTACCTTCCCCAGCATGATTCTTGTTTACATTGTTAATAAAGTCCTTGCTTTTTCCTTTCTTCTCCTCCACTTTGTAACTCAGTTTTACCATGGTGACTATATTCTTTCTCACTCAGCTATTTTTCTTTACCTGCAAGAATAATTACTATGCTTCCAGAATTAAACAGAAATGTAGAATGATTTTTAGTTTGCTGCTTGTAGGTTGTAGAGATGGAGCCCAGATGAAGCCTTCTGTCTTAAAAGTTCAGTAATAAAAACAACTTTATAAGCCAGTCAGAGCTGAAGATTCACCTTACTGGTCTTCGGAATGACAACTGTAAGTAACTTGTTTAGATAGTGAATTGAAAAGCAGAAATATTATAATACACCCTCTACCTTGAGTATGAACTTGAAATCTTATTCTGGAAGAGAAAGAGGGTCCTTTGACCAAAATATGTATCGTGCAAATAAGATTTACATAGTTCATGTCTCTTCTTCATTTTTCATATTCTGAGGAGGGTAGTGCTTTTGCTTGTGGGATTGAGAAATGTGCGTTTGTTTGGCTTAGAATGAATTGCACTGATGATAGCTTATTGTTCTGCATGTACATTTGCATATGGGTGACTCTCATCATTCAAACAAGCAGCTTATTATGCGTCTAGATTTACATTAGGAAACTCTTGGCCACGTGAAAGAAATCCCTGCATCTTGTACAGCTTGTAATGTAGTTGAAGAAGCAGAACAGCTGATGTAAAATATAAATGATGAAATAATTGTGGGTGCAATTGTAAGGACTATGAGGGACTCCACACACTGCAGGTTCCCACAGAGACTTCGTGGAGATGTTCAAACTTGAGTGAGACCTTTTAAGGATCGAGTGTCTTAGGGGGAGAGGGGAAGGAAAGCGAGAAAGCCTTTCTAGTGCTTTGACAAGCCTGCACACTTGCAGGTAACTTGGATGAGCCAATGAGGATCTCTTCCAGGTAACTGTAGTTGAGCTTTTTTGTGTTTGGGTTTTTTTTTTTTTTTTTAGCCATGAGAGTGGCATTTCTCAAATGGGCATCCTAGATCCAAGGTTATCTTTATAAAAACACATAATTTTACTTCCCTCCTTCGTATCCTCATAAATGATTGAAGTCACTAAGTTATCTACATGCCTTTAGGTAAATATTTTAGGGCCTATGGACATTATTGCTTATTATGAGACCAGGAGTTCTCAGCCTCATCAGATCTTATTTCCATTTTCAGCATCAGACTTCAAGCAATCTGCCTGGAGCCATAATTCCATTTTCCAACTAACTGGAGAAGGTTGTTCCTACAGAGAAAGTGCTTACTTGAAAATGTTTTCATTTGACTATTATCATCCTAATCTGATGTACTTTTCTTGTAGATCTAAATATTTTAGATTGGAGTTCCCCAAACCTTGTTGCTATGGCCCTTAAATCTTCTGTGTACATCTGGGATGGTGAAAGGAGCAAAGAGATGGAAAACATAGACTTAAGCCTCACTTGTAACTATGTGATTTCTGAGTCCAGGCTGAAAGAGGGACCCTGTCTGGCAGCTGGCACCAGCGAGGGAGAAGTGCAAGTACTGGACAGTTCCCTACACTACCCCTCCCCACCCAGCAATGTGACCTCTGAAAATACTGGGTTAAAAGAACTAATACAAAATAGAAACTAGATTGAGTATGGGACGTAGTTCTGGGAAGTGAGAGGATGTACCATTGTTCTTTCTGAATGGCACTTAAGAGGGGTATGAAGTTACACTACTTATTTAGTCTCCCCCCACCATTCTTCTCCTTTCTAAATTTCTCCTCTTACATATTTTCTATCAAACTAGAGCTGGGCTTGTAGAAGACATAATTTTTGAACCTGGAACAGAAGATTGCCTTCCAGGGCTCCTTCCTCACCTCAAACCATGACCAACAGTAGAGCTGTATAAGATGATTGAATTAATTTTGATTTGATTGGGTGTCTAAGATGAAGACTTTTCAAGCTCCTGGATACCATTATTCGTTACTGCTTTCTGACAACAGAGTAAAACCAATTCTTTGCAAATGCTAGGCAACTTTGGACAACTCCCTCATTTCTGCAATGATTACTGGGTATTTGAAGGTTATATCATGATCCTTTACTTGACAAAGCTGTCATTTCTCATATGGGTCAGAATAAATAGCACCATCAATGGGCAGGAAAAGACTATTTTAGTAGTCAGTGTAACTCTTAGTTCGACAAAGTGTCCCCACACACTGCCACTGAGTCAATTCCAGGTTTCTTAGGCTGTGAATGGTAATGGGAGCAAACCGTGTCATCTTTCCCCTAAAGAGCAGCTCATGGGTTGCAATCACACTACCAGGAGCTCCTTGTAAAGGAGCTTCCAGAATATATAATAAATATCTAATATCTAATAAATACTTACAGAAGTGGATGGCCACAGTTTTTTCCTGAGCAATGGCTGCTGGCCTCAAACCACTGTTCTTTTGGTTGGGAACTAAATGCATTACACATAGTGCCACCAGGGCCCCTTACACAGTATCCATGAACCCAAGTTTTCCTAGCATATTTGCTGGTGCCTCTCCATGGATTTCCAGATTTGGCATTATCTTCGTTTGGAAGGAGTGAGTGGTGTGATGAGGAGAAGGGCCTGGGGGAAGAAACCACTTTTGAAAACTCTGTAGAACATAGCTCTGGTCTGACACATGTGGTTGCCATAAGCAGGAATTAATTGAATGATATCTGGTGCGTGTAGAGGTGTGATAGGTTACCAGCCCTTGGCTGCAAATTGAAATCACTTGGGTTGTTTTAACATAAGTATCATTTCCTAGGCTCCTCCTGCTTGGCTGGCCCAATGGCGGAGTGTTTTAGATGCTCTCCAGGGGAGTCTAACATTAAATCAGCTTCGAGGATGGCTTCAGAATGAATGGTTCTGAACTTTGGTTAAGTGCAAAATCTGGCTGAGTCAACTTTAATTGGCTATAAGGCTTTTGAGAAGAAAATGGGCTTTGAAAATACTCATGCTTGTCCACTCCCCCCGCCCCCCTTACAGGATATTGTAGCTAAAAGCAGCTAAGGAACATACTTGGGCATTTATCGGTTGTTGGGGCCTTGGGCTGGAATCACTGTGTTCTCAGCAGGTAAGGATCATTGTATTGGAGCCAGGTGTGTTTATAACAGCAGTTGATTATTGGGTCTGAGTTAGCAGAACAATAATATGAAAACGAAGACTGAAATCAGAGTGAAACAACATGGGACATTGGGCCTAGTGCCCGTCTTGACTCTGTGCTGAGGTATTCAGTGCTTGTGCTGATGGGCAGGTGGCAGGGGCCACATCCCACTGTGCCTTCAGCATCTGCCAGGTCTATTTAGAACATGAGGCTTGAGAGTAACTGCACTGTTCAGATAAATATGAAATATCTTTCAAGTAAAAGGCTTTTTTCTACCAAGTAATACTTACTAGAAAATGAACTGGAACAGCACATCAGCAGAGAACTGCCAGAAGTCCAGGCTGGGTTTAGAAGGGGTCGTGGTACTAG